TAAAAAGGTAAAACCTTACCTTCATTGCAGATTATCACACCTTTTTCCCCCAGAGTTCATATATAGGTGTGGATGTGTAAACGCTCAAACCTTTTTCAATAATGAATCCAGATCAAACAAATATACATTGCCCAGCAAAGCATTCCTTCAAATGTTTGCCCAAGCACTTACACTCATCGTCATTCCGAACAACTGGCTCCAACTCTCAGCTCGGCTTCCCTGAACTTCCTGTCCAGTACAAGATTACAAGGGACAGAGCAGTGGCCAGCAGCCATCTATCTACTAGCTTGGAGAAGGGAGGAGAGGAAAGGGATTGCTGTGTCTGTGTATTTGTGGAGACACACACAGCTTACTAGCACACACCGGGGTGGCTCCATAGGAGACAAATGTTTCTGTGTCATTCACGCTGAACATACCCACCCAGGTTATAGAAACACACAGAACTACCTAAAAATATAATTTTGTGGTTTTACTGGCACTCTTTTCTCTTTTCAGATGAGGGGCAGGACCTCCTCTCAGATGCAGAGGTGACCATGGCGCCACAAGGTGGAGCAGATTAACTGTATGGTGGGGTTGCACCACTCTAGATTTAGGTTTTACGGACATTCTTGTATTCCCTCAGGCAGCATCTCTTTGGGTCACGTGGGGTGGGGGCAGGCAGAGCGGCATGACCTCTGCTCTGCTACACAATGTTTGCAGTGTGCCTGCCACCCCCTTTCCAGCCAGAGCGCCTCAAGTTGCAGCCATATACATCTCTCCAGCCAGTTATTAGTAACCTGGGATGCTCTGGCCGGTGTCCCGCCCAGCTCCTGGCAACCAGTGATGTCACTGGTTGCTAGGAGCTGGTCAGGATGCTCCTAACAATGAGCAGGGAGGACTGTAATCGGCTGAGCTTGGCTAGGACTTTTACTCCCCCCCACCACCCAGGGGAGAGATCTACAGGGACTCACAGTGGTACAGGGGAAGAGCGTTGAGCAGTATGCTGGGACAGCGGGTGTGTGTCTGAGCCTGGAGAGTAGCAGGGGCCAAGGGTACTATGAAGAGAGCCAGTGGGAAGAGAGAGTGTGATGTGTCCCCTCATGCTGCTGGGTCCTGTGGGAACAGGAGAACTTGCAGGACTAATGCTGGGAGAGGGGAGATTCAGAGTGCTGTCTCTTCTAACCACCACTGTGCAACCCCCGCCCCCCCCCCCCCCCCCCCCCCCGCCTCAGACAACAAAAAGTGTAGGGACGCCACCGTAACTGGCTATTAACATCTCTCAAACACCAGCTAGGACTTTTACAGTTTCTTTCATCAAGCTGCAGAATTCTCTGTATAGCGGAGCAAGAGAGACATCTAACAGGGAGAGTCATAGCCCCTGGTATCACTTGCGCAATGCTCGGAAATCTGGTAAAACTCACTGCAGCCCTACCCCAAAAAGGTGGTGGGTGATTCATCTCACATTTATACTTATACCTATAGCTGAACATTGTGTTTTAAATGGACTGAACCTTTAAAGCATAAATACATTCAGGTTGCAGCTCTAAAAAGGATAAACCACCACCATACCACATTTTAAAGCTTGTTGCCGGGGAAGCTGCAACAGATGACCTCATGCAAGACTGCAAAGAAGAGAGATGTTTGTGTCCAGAAATATGAGGCAAGCACTGAAAGCTGTACTAAGGTCTTCTGATCCAATGCACCAAATCCACCATCCCATGCATCAATGCGCCAAATCAACTCACATCATCAGAACAAAGATTGGTTGGAAAAGTTCCCAAAGTTCTGAAAATTGCAGAATCCAAGATTTCCCTTTATATCATGCAGGTTCCTTCTGCCTACTGAGCAGAGAATGCCAGATAGAAGAATACCGCAAACTGCGTTCACCAGGAAAGCGCGCAGAAGAGGAAATACAGGGGGGGATACTGAGGACCTAAAATGCTTATTGGCCGACTGTTCTACTGACCCACCGGCTGTAACACTGAGTCACATGCAACAAGTTTGCAGAGGTTTGAAAGTCAGAAGTCATAGGTCAGTGGCTCAAATGTTTGGAAGCAAGAGGATTAGCATGACAGCCAGGTGATGTTTCATAAGACCATGTGAGCAATGGCAGCCTCTCTCATTGGAGGTTCCCTTCAAGGACCCATTCACACCATAGCGTTCTCCTAAAGGCACGGTATCCATGCGTTCAACTCGCGCTATCGCACGGCCCACCTAGTGTGCGGTACAGTGCACTAGGTTTGTTGCCATTCATTTGACTGGCACCCCAGTGCACCTCCCGGCAGCCATGCATTGCAGCAAAACTCAACATGCAGTAGAGCAATACTGCGCATTGTGGTGAAAAAAGTAATGCATGCACCACTTTTTCTGCATGCACAGTACTGCGGTGCCACACCTTGTGCTGCAAGTAAGCGCAGAAGGATGCCATTAAAATGAACTGCATGGTACCACATGCTAGGTGCACTGTGCGATAGCAGATACTGCGCTTTTAGCGCAACACTATGGGGTAAATGGGCCCTAAAGCTTATTTTAACCCAAGAACAAATGTAATATATTGCAGCTTACCAGTCCATTCCTAGGGTGACAACGCTCACTCACTGTATCTATGGATGAGCAGGGTTGTCACCCTAGGACAGAGACAGTAGGACAACAGAACACTGCCTCCCCCTCTTCCCCATAACATACAGAGGAGGTATTCTGTAATCCACAGAGAACTGGGAACAGCACTGATAGCAGAGACATGAAGCGATAACTAACTGGATTTCCGACAGAATCTAAGGGGGTTATTCACTAAAGAGCCAAAGGATCCAGCCGTAGCTTCGGCTGATCTTTCGGCCGCCTCTGCCCTTCGGTTCAGGTGAACCGAAGGGCTGCTGTACGGGCCAATCACAATCACCCTACAGCAGCTGAAGGCAGCCGAGCTGAATGTATATGCTTCGTCTCGGCTGAGCCGTAGTGACACCCGAAGCATAGAGAAAGCTTGGCCGAAGCCAACCGATTTCCACGCAAATGATAGCTGGGCGGAGACCAATTGTAATGACAGATCAGCGTCCCCAAATGACCTGGGAACGCTGATCTCTCAATAAACAATAACTGGGCGGAGTTGGCCGTGCTGTCACGGCTGGCTCCGCCCAGTTGTTATTCATTGGCCGGGACCTGCTAGAAGTAGAAGACTCTAGCCGGCCAATAGGAAACAGTTGGGCGGAGCTAGCTGTCACATCTAGCTCCGCTCAATTGTTTTTCTTTTTTTATTATTTTTTCTTTAAAATATATTTTTTTAATTTTTCAATTTTTTTACATTTTGAAAATAATTTTTCACATTTTTTTTTTCATTTAACGGTTTTGCTATTCTGCTCGCTACCTCAGGAGAGAATGAGAATAGGGGCGAACGGCAGCGAGTGAGCTGCTGGAGCTTCGGCTCAGCCGATCCAGATGTTGGATCGGCTGAGTCGAAGTCCTTCTGCACTTCGGGTCAGCCGAACATGCTGAGCATGTTCGGTTGACCGAAGGCAGCCAATGTACGGCTGATTTTAGCCGATGTACGGCTCACTTGACTTCAGCTCGGTTATTCACTCGGCTGCCTTCGGCAGCTAAGTGAATAACCCCCTAAATGTATTTTTTTACTTCATCAAATAGATAAAACACTTTCAAATGTGTATTCGACGGGCCAAAAAGGAGCAATAAGAGAAGTTCATTGTTAGGGTTTACACATACTTTAAACTGGCCATACATGGCTAGATTTTCTCTTATGCAACCTGCAAACGAAAGAGCAGATTTACCAATATCAGAAGGTGTTCTATAGGCTGCACAGGGTGTATCCACAGAACACAACCTCTCCTGGGTCCGAGAAGTCAGATGGCCCAAGCGACACTGCCACTCCCTTATGCAGAAACGGTTTGCGCCCATTCCATTCTGCACAGAAGAAACCTCTGATCTTTCCCTACTTTTTTCTTTTTACATTTCTGTTGTCTGCGGTTTAAGCCCAGGCACGCTGGGACTTGTAGTTCCAGAACATCTATAGGCCCACATTATAATCCCATCCATGGAAACACTTGCTATACAGGGGAAGCCAAAGCTCCAAGTTTGTTATTGAAAATCAACGAGTTCTCTATGCATGGCCACTTTAAAACACTGCTTTCACTCTCATCTGGCACACAGAGATAAGAGCACGAGTGTCTTGTAAACTGGGAATGACAAATACCGTCACACCCTTGTTGGTAAACATTTCTAAAGACAGGAAGCATTCAATAGGAATAGGATACAAGGCATTCAGTATGGCAATTGAATGGCTAGCACAGGGATTTTGCAGCTCACTCCACAATCTGAGGCCACTGCTAATACAACTAGGTGTCTGTGCAGCATGTTAGGGGATGGCACATATGGATGAGCTCTTGAACACCATTGCCTCTCCTGTCTACCCACACACTAGCTGCATTAATTATTCCTCCTGCATTGCCACCCTCCACACCTCCAGATCAGTCAGATGAGGCACACAAGACAGCTTCAGATTAACCCAACTCATTCACTCCCTCTCACTATGCTATCTGCCATATTACTATATGGTTTCTTGTATTATTAGAATTACATTTTATTCATAGAGAGATTGCTCATGCAGGTCGCCCCCTTGTGGCTGCCGGCAGAACTACAGCAAAGAAAATAATCTCAGCAGGGTGCTTCATATCTCTGCTCTATTACATCCATTATGTCCACGGAGAAATGGACACGTAAGGAAAACACATACACCCACCTAGCATGACACTGGAAAGAGATTGTGATAGCAAAGAGAGAGAAAAAGAAAGAAAGATCTGCTCATTTCTATACCTGCAAATTATAGTTATAACCCCCCATCCATAAAGGAGCATGCATCATTTGATTATTTACAGGTTGCTGCCATCTAAAATAAAGCCTGCCCAAGACTGGCTCTCATATGCATCATTGCATCAGGCTGGCAGGCAGTGCATTAGCATCTGACATTCCTGTATGAATATAGGTGTAGGTGAGTAGGAATGATGTGGACATACCTTGAATCTGTGCGATGGCAATGTTATCTCCTGCAGGTTGGGGAGCCCATGTTATCTCCTGGTGGATGGTTATAGAGCAGAAGCCCAGCCCCTTTCTGGATACAGCAGGCAAACAAAAGCCAGTGACAGTGATCTGGGTGGCCCCTCCCCCACCACACCCACCCTACAGCATCTCTAGGATGCTCTGTGCAGCCGCACAATAGACCTGGGAATATCCCTGACAGCCTGAGCTGATGGACCAGTGACTGCCAGCATCAGCAGGGTTAAAGCAGCAGTGACTGCCAGCATCAGCAGGGTTAAAGCATTGAGCTGATGGACTAGTGGCTGCAAGCATCAGCAGGGTTAAAGCATCAGTGACTGTCAGCATCAGCAGGGTTAAAGCATCGAGCTGATGGACCAGTGACTGCCAGCATCAGCAGGGTTAAAGCATCAGTGACTGTAAGCATCAGCAGGGTTAAAGCATCAGTGACTGTAAGCATCAGCAGGGTTAAAGCATCGAGCTGATGGACCAGTGACTGCCAGCATCAGCAGGGTTAAAGCATCAGTGACTGCCAGCATCAGCAGGGTAAAAGCATCAGTGACTGCCAGCATCAACAGGGTTAAAGCATCAGTGACTGCCAGCATCAGCAGGGTTAAAGTATCGAGCTGATGGACCAGTGACTGCCAGCATCAGCAGGGTTAAAGTATCGAGCTGATAAACCAGTGACTGCCAGCATCAGCAGGGTTAAAGTATCGAGCTGATGGACCAGTGACTGCCAGCATCAGCAGGGTTAAAGTATCGAGCTGATAAACCAGTGACTGCCAGCATCAGCAGGGTTAAAGTATCGAGCTGATGGACCAGTGACTGCCAGCATCAGCAGGGTTAAAGTATCGAGCTGATAGACCAGTGACTGCCAGCATCAGCAGGGTTAAAGTATCGAGCTGATAGACCAGTGACTGCCACCAGCAGCAGGGTTAAAGTATCGAGCTGATGGACCAGTGACTGCCAGCATCAGCAGGGTTAAAGTATCGAGCTGATGGACCAGTGACTGCCAGCATCAGCAGGGTTAAAGTATCGAGCTGATGGACCAGTGACTGCCAGCATCAGCAGGGTTTAGCATCATCACTCACACAGAACTGCAATGCAAGATCAGTGTAAAGGGGTTACATGCACTGCTGGTGGAAAGCAAATTCCATGTAAAATGTCTTTAGGGAAACATTTACAAGATAACAGGAAGAGGAGCATCCTCCTTACTGGACCAAAATAGTGTTCAACCTGTGTATATGTAGTTAGCATTCTCTACACAAATGTAAAAGGTTCCTCCTCCTATAATCTGTAAATACAAATAAATTATCCTAAAGGAAAAGGCTTCCCCTACTTTAATGATAATAATAATGAGTATGACAACAATCAGACGAAGCACTGCGCAAACTGTTGGCGCTATATAAATCCTGTATAAGAATAATAATGACTGATGGATCATTTATTACTAATTTATTATTACAGTGATCAGATGACTGATAGTAATAATAAACTATTTTTATTTTGATTACTACTACTACTATCATTACTACTAGTATCTATTTATTATTATTCCAGTGATCACTCAGATGACGGATGGATCATTTAATATTATTACTACTTTTAATTTATTATTATTCCAGTGATTAGATGACTGATGGATCTTTTATTATTATTAATAATAAAAGATCATCAGTCATCTGATCACTGGGATAATAATAATAATAAATGACCCATCAGCCGTCTGATCACTGGGATAATAATAATAATAATAAATGATCCATCAGCCGTCTGATCACTGGGATAATAATAAAATATATTTAAAGTAGTAACAATAATAATAAATAATACAAAATGGAATATTAATTGAAAATAAATACTAGTAATAATAATAAATGATCCATCGGTCATCCGATCACTGGATCCCCCGACATCCTCTCACTCCTCTCCCTTTACATGCGTCTGGTAGAGGAGCACATTGCACAGAGTTGCTTGCAGGGAATCGGTTACATAAGAAGTGTACAGAAGAAACAATGTAGACTTTTTTCTACTAATTCATGCTGAAGTGGCAGAATAATCAGATTACAGTTTCTGCACCTTTTATATCAATTCATGAATTCACAGCCGAAACTGCATGGAGTCAGCAGGCAGCGACTGCTTCACTTTATTCCATATGCAGGGCTGTCCCTAAGATTTTCGCCTGCTGAGTTGCTGTGATGTCATTCCAGGGGCGGGGTGCTAGCAGGGAATGGTCACTTTTTTGTTGTTGTGCTGAATTGGTGCAACAACCCCCCAGTCCAGCATCCCGCCCAGCTCCTGGCAAGGTCAATGAGCCCAAGACACTGTGGCCGCACCCTCCCAGCCACTGCCCCCTCAACCTGGCTCAGCAGGGTTAAAGTATCGAGCTGATGGACCAGTGACTGCCAGCATCAGCAGGGTTAAAGTATCGAGCTGATGGACCAGTGACTGCCAGCATCAGCAGGGTTTAGCATCATCACTCACACAGAACTGCAATGCAAGATCAGTGTAAAGGGGTTACATGCACTGCTGGTGGAAAGCAAATTCCATGTAAAATGTCTTTAGGGAAACATTTACAAGATAACAGGAAGAGGAGCATCCTCCTTACTGGACCAAAATAGTGTTCAACCTGTGTATATGTAGTTAGCATTCTCTACACAAATGTAAAAGGTTCCTCCTCCTATAATCTGTAAATACAAATAAATTATCCTAAAGGAAAAGGCTTCCCCTACTTTAATGATAATAATAATGAGTATGACAACAATCAGACGAAGCACTGCGCAAACTGTTGGCGCTATATAAATCCTGTATAAGAATAATAATGACTGATGGATCATTTATTACTAATTTATTATTACAGTGATCAGATGACTGATAGTAATAATAAACTATTTTTATTTTGATTACTACTACTACTATCATTACTACTAGTATCTATTTATTATTATTCCAGTGATCACTCAGATGACGGATGGATCATTTAATATTATTACTACTTTTAATTTATTATTATTCCAGTGATTAGATGACTGATGGATCTTTTATTATTATTAATAATAAAAGATCATCAGTCATCTGATCACTGGGATAATAATAATAATAAATGACCCATCAGCCGTCTGATCACTGGGATAATAATAAATGATCCATCAGCCGTCTGATCACTGGGATAATAATAATAATAATAAATGATCCATCAGCCGTCTGATCACTGGGATAATAATAATAATAAATGATCCATCTGTCATCTGATCACTGGGATAATAATAATAATAAATGATCCATCAGCCGTCTGATCACTGGGATAATAATAATAAATGATCCATCTGTCATCTGATCACTGGGATAATAATAATAATAAATTATCCATCAGCCGTCTGATCACTGGGATAATAATAATAAATGATCCATCTGTCATCTGATCACTGGGATAATAATAATAATAATTGACCCATCAGCCGTCTGATCACTGGGATAATAATAATAATAAATGATCCATCAGCCGTCTGATCACTGGGATAATAATAATAATAAATGATCCATCTGTCATCTGATCACTGGGATAATAATAATAATAAATGACCCATCAGCCGTCTGATCACTGGGATAATAATAATAATAATAAATGATCCATCAGCCGTCTGATCACTGGGATAATAATAAAATATATTTAAAGTAGTAACAATAATAATAAATAATACAAAATGGAATATTAATTGAAAATAAATACTAGTAATAATAATAAATGATCCATCGGTCATCCGATCACTGGATCCCCCGACATCCTCTCACTCCTCTCCCTTTACATGCGTCTGGTAGAGGAGCACATTGCACAGAGTTGCTTGCAGGGAATCGGTTACATATGGGGGGGGGGGGTGGGGGGTCATCTGATGTGAATGGGGAACCCCTTTTTTTGTGTTTTTGCGTGGGGTTCCCCTTAAAATCTGTACCAGACCCCTATCTGGATTTTGAAAGGGCCACCTATCATTTTACATTTAAGATTGGGGTGGCCCCAGATTTTGCTAAATTTTTTAAAAGGTGCTGCGGCTAAAAAAAATTGAGAAACGCTGATCTAGACCAGCAAAGACACTCAATTAGGCCAGGTGTATATCTATCCGTGCCAGCTTTTGCCCATGTTTAGTGTATTTATACAAGTTTTCATTCTGCATTGTGTGTTTGTGGGCGGGGGGTAATCGTGCTACTAAATTTTGGCAATTTTTAAAGATTTATGGGCAAGCTATTGTCAAAAAAGGACATGGTCACTTCACTATTATACCAAAGGGTTTGACACTACCATAGGGAATATGAATTACCAGACAGCAAGGAGAGTATCTTTTCATGTGGTAGCATGCAGCACCCCCCTTACTGACTAGGCTACATGCCTTTTTAACATTGGGGAGA